GGTGTTTTTAATGTATTTTCATTATATTAACCAATCCTTTTACCATACAACGGCTGTATGACGAACGGGAAAGGAAGTAACCATTAGCAATTTCTTTTCCCGTGTGATTTAACACCAACTTGAAATCACATTTTTGTAAATTGAGTGTATGGGTGTAAATGAGCAGTGATATTTAACTTCTTTCAATTCGGGGCATCTTTCTATACCGATAAAATGGATTGTATTTGGCGACTTCGACACGAAATTGAATATACTTAAATTTTGGAATATATTTTGGGTTGGCATCGTTACTGTTGTCTCAACGGTTTTGTCAAAGTGCATAGAAATTGTATTTAATCTATTCAATTTAGTCAAATCCATGTTTTGAATGTTATTTTGACCAAAACTGATATTCAAGGTGAACACATAACTTTTGCAGTCATCGCCCAAATACGACGACTTTAAAAGTTGGTCAAAATTAAGAAATTTTTCATTGAAATTTTTCACAAACATTTTTGGTTTTTCAAAAAATGGAGTTTCTTTGTTTACATGTTGTAGTGTGTTAGGTGTAACAATTTTATTTACTACATCTTTTGTGATATCTTTGATGCAAATGCTGTGGTATTTTTCGTTCAAATTTATGTCAATGTCAATTTCGTCACTTTGGATATTAAATATTCCAATTGAAACGTCTGGGTTGGTCGTAACGAAGTTAATCAGTTTAATTTTTAGTTTTTCATTGATTGACTTCTTTATCACAAGTTTTTGTAACATTCGGAATTTTAAATTTTCAAATGAATAATCGTCGTCGAGTGTTACCACTATTTTTCTTACTTTTGGGCAGTGTGTTTGGACATAACAAATGCTTTCTTTGGGTATTGAAATTGTAATGATTTTACTTAGAATTGTATTGTCAAAGGTTTCTGGAAATATCACAGCACACGCACAATCAAACCACGTGATTTGATTTATCTGCTTTTGTGTGAGGGAGCGCACCATAGTGTTCAAATTACCAGTGAGTGTGTTGAGACGTGGAAAGAAGTTAAAAAGGAAGTTGTACCCTAAATATATTGAACGTGGATTTACTTTTAGACAGCGAATCGCTTCATGTGCTCGTTTATTAACAAGGCGATAATTTCTTAATGTGGTTTCTCGATCAATGTATAACACTACATTGGCTTGGTATATCATCTCTAGGCGTATAACACTCATTTATTGCTTCAAGTTAATAAAGCTTGTGTTATTTATATCATCAAGTTTGAATTTTGACTTTTTTTATTTTTAAAAATTTGATTTATATTAAAAAATAATTATATACAAATAAAAACAATTTTTGTTTGGTTTGTATAAATTCTTTAATTCAATAAAAAAACACATTTTTATATTAATTTTTTTAACCCTTCCAGTACCAGGAATTTCCAAAAAAAATGTTTACTTAATATAATCTTATTCATTTTGAGTGTATTTTAGAGTAAAGAAACGCAAAAAACGCTTTAAACTTTTAACAACCATGGGAAATACCAGGAAACAAAATTATTAGTAAAAAATAATTAAATTTACTACAAATTAATAGTAAATTTTGACCTAAAATCGTATTTTTGTTGAAAAAAGGTTCATTTTTTCTGTGAGGAAAACTTGACGAAATTTCATGTTATTATTTTCTAGTTTTAAAATTTTTTCTTTTTATATCAATAATTTGTGTGTAGTATAATAAACTATACATTATAAGTCTTTCTAAAAACAGAGTTTTAAAATAAGAAAAAAGTATCAAATAAAATTCTGATAAAAATTCTTTTATTGAAAAACAAGTGATACGTCATACTTTGAAAATTCCAAAAGTAATTATTTTAATTTAGTTTATATTGTAAATGTTTTGATGTTTTGTAAATAACGTGTAAAAAAGTTGACATTTTATTGAATTTTAATATATGTAACAAACAATTAAATATTATGATATTAGTTGTGCAACCACACTGATTATTAGCGTTCTCACTTTATGAACTTTTGTTGAGAATCATATGTATACGAGATATATTTACGAAATTTTTCTTCTTAACTATCGTTTTAAAAAATTCGTTTTCATTACACAAAATAAATTAAATGTATATGAATAACATTACTACCTTTTTCACATTTTAAAGAAAAAACCTTTATATACATTACTCTAAATTATTATAATATATATTTTATAACTAATATGTATGACACAACTGTGTTAGACTTTTAATTTATATAACATACAAAAATAAAACGTGCAAACTTTTTATATATTATAAATGATACATCAAACATGAACTGAAAACTACAATATTAAAACTAAATACTGTTTAATTTAGAATAACTTTTAGTTTACAAATTATAATTTATATCGATCTATATGCGTGTTATAACATATATATTTCTGGTATTGGAAGGGTTAAAACAAGATGGGTTTATTTTTTATCGAAAATATCAATATTCGTTCTGAAGTGTTCATAAAATTTCGCCATTATTTTCATTTTTTTTGGAAAAGTGAAATTATTTTTTGAAAATTTTTTTCTGAAAAAAAAAGAAAAAAAAATAAAAAATTTTCAGTCGTTAAGGGTTAAAGCAGTGCCACCAAAAGGTATGTTTTTATTGGAAGTGAATTTCATTTAAACAATGGGAAGATTTTTTAACCCAAAAAATTTAAAATCATTTTTAAAATTACCATTTTTAATATAAGTGCCGTAATTATTTATTAATTAAATGCAATCATTAGTAAAATAATATATATCATAAACCTGCGAGTATTAAATATATTATATAAATAATTATAATTAGTAATAATTTATTTGTTTTTTTAACTAAAATTATTAATTATTATTAATGTTAATAATTAAAAAAATAATAGACAATTTATATAATGCTTTAAAAACTGGGATATAGACGTTATTAAAAAAATCCAAATCTTTAATCAAATAAAACTATAATATATAGCAAACAATATGCTGATTATTAACCTCTTTACTTTAGTAGATAATAGTTATATTATTATTTAATAAAAAATACAAAAATGAAATTATTCCATAATATAAAATGTTTTTGTTTCAATTTGCTATAAAAAATAATAATACAATTATTATATTAATAGTTTTCTTCAATTTGTAAATTCCAAGAATAACGAATTTTCTTAAAACATGACAAGTGCCCGCAAATTTATACAATTTTAGACTGATGAAGAAAATAAATTCTATTTTATGAAGTGTATGAGTTTTTTTGGTGTACGACAATTTTCTGGTCGACTTTAATTAATTAACTCATTTTAACAATTTATGTTTGCTAAACATTGCAAAGAATTATAAATTAAAACAAAAATAAAAGTATATAAATAAAGTTATGTTTAATGTTTTAAACCTTATTTATACTTTTAATTGGTCATTTTTATGTTGCTATTTTTGCCTTCTTTATTTTTGTAACTGACGTTATATATTTATCTTTGGAGGTTTATCGAATAACATTTCTATAAACCTTAAAATGTTATTTATTTATTGGAATTAATTTTTTTCCACCACCACATTTAAAATTTTGATGGATTGGAACAAAATTTTCAAAATTCACTTCCAATAATTTTTTTTGGTGGCACTGATTTACATTAACACGTTAGATTATTTTTGTTTTTTTTCATCCACGAAAAATTAACCAAAATATTCATTTTGCCCCACAACAAACAGAAAAATGGGAAATAAAAAATAATATATTAAATAGTAAAATATGCTTACATTTAAACATTGAATTTCAAAAATGATAATTAAATATTTAATTATTTAAATAATTATGAGTTGTTGATTGTTGTTTTATTCATATTTATTACTATACTTAATAACTATTATGCATCGTTTTCAGAATATCATACAACAAACACAATCAGTTAATTTTTCAGCGACTTCTGTTTTATACTAATATTATTCGGCAGTTTTCAATGAAATTCAAAAGTCACAGACCAGCTATTACTGTCAAGTTCAATTCTAATTCAAAAAGCACCATCTGTAAGTATTCAAATAATAACAGATCTGAATATACTTAAAAGCAATTAATCTAAACATTATGTAATTGTTTTTTATTCTTTTTAAAAACACAAAAACAAAACAAAATAAAACAAAATGGATTGCGAAACAAACATAATAATAGATGAAGACGAAATGTTTTCAGACGATGAAAAAGAGAATTTTGAGAAGTTGACAATTGATGTGGGAAACACCTTTTTGATGACCCATCAACAACAAGATGTAGAGTCTCTAATAGAAACAACTGGCTTGTCCACTATAACTGAACCTTCACAACATTGTGTTTCTTCCTCTCAGCTTGTTTTCTCTGCCGCTTCACAAATTTCTTCGTCCCAATTTACCAATTCAACGGACTCAACTCAGCCATTGATTTATTCACAACAAATAGTTTGGTTTTCATGATTGAAACTATGTTAATTTAATTGTTTTTTATTTACAATAGTTAAAATGTTCAAAAACAAAGTTTATAAATAGCAAAGCCCAACACCCACAATTGATTGGAAAAAAGAACAATTTCTGATGATTTTTTTGATTTTGAGAAATTTAAATCAGAGTGCAGAAACCCAAAATGGATTTTGGATGAAAAAATATTGAAAAATCCTTTAAAAATTTTCCTTCATTATTTATCACCTGATATAATTACAATAATTGTAAACGGAATCAATCAAAAATCCCATGAAGATACGAAACGTAAGACTGTTTTTCAACTAACAAACTATAATGAAGTTTTGGCATTTGTGGGTGTGCTAATTTATTTGGCAAGTATACGATGGCAAAATTCTCTCGAAAACGCATTTGATAGTGAAATTGGTGTGGATTTTGTTCAAATGTGTTTTAAAAAATCACGTTTTGCCCAATTGTTCCGCTATTTTAGATGTGACAATAAAGAACAACGTAAAGATCTTCTAAAAATAGGTGAGCACCAGGTCGGTATTCTAAAAATAACACAAATTTTTGAAAAAAATTTGCAAAACGTGTGTTTTCCTGGTGAATTGCTATGTATTGACGAAAGAATGTGCAAATTTCTTGGACGTGCACATGACGTTATTTTTAATCCAAACAAACCAATTCGTAGGGGTTTCGAATATCTTTTGATTGTTGACACAAAAACAAACATTTGTGTTAATATGTTCCAATATTACAAAGGGTGTATTAACTCGAATGGTCACATCGGGAGAACTTTGGCAGATAAGTTAATTGAGGGTGTCAAAAAAGAAAATGAAAATGATGTTCTAAAAATACAAATGGATTCACGTTTTATCGAAATTGAACACCTTGCGATATGGAAGGCACAAAGAGTGGAAGTTATTGGGACTGTACGCAAATCAAAAATTTTACCTGAAGGATGGGACCAAAAACTAACGGATAATGAAATGAAATTAAAAATAATACAAAAGAAAAAAAGAAGCAGAGAAAGCAAAAAATGAAGAAAACAAACAAAAAACGATAAAAACACACAAAAAGAAAAAATACATTGAAGAGACAACAGAAGATGTACAAAATCGGGAAAATAAAATAAAAGAACTAGAAGAAATTATTGATAGAGAAAAGAAAGACAATCCTTCATTTAACAAATTTTGGGAAAGTTCTCCAATTGTTCTAAACACTTTTAACCCCAACAAAACAAAAACGGTATCAATAGCAACTACATTCCTTGAAAACTCAGGATTTTGGGAACAGTCTACAAATAGAAAAAAGACAAATATGAACAATGTTTACAACAAAATGAAATATCCAGTCGATATTTTTAACTTTTTTGTGCAGAATATCTTGTTCCTTTCCGTTCTTCTCGTTGTACATTTGCACTTTTCAAAAATATAGTGGAGACGTCAATGACAAATAGTTTCGTTGTGAATAGAATTTACGATGAAAAAATTGAACATGGCATTATTTTGAGAAATTTGGCCAAACTGTTGTGTTCTGATTATATTGTGGACAATTTCGGGAAAAGAACTGAAATTGAACAAAACCAAAGTCAAATTTTTTGGAAAAAGTGTCAAATGGATTTGCTTTGTGATAAAAAAATTGAGGTGCCCAGTATTGACAGCAAAAACTATGACAAACGTGTTGTTTGGTTTTCGTGTTGTTGTGAGCGAATGAATGCAATGGAGATCGAAGAGGATGCCAATCAATCATCTTCAATTAACGAGAAAAAGAAACCGGGACAGAGAGGAAAGGCAAGGCAAGGCACTGTGATGTTTTGAGAACGAAGAAAAAATGCTTTGTTTGTAATCGTGGATCTTGTAAAAAACATCTCACTTCTATTTGCAGCTACTGTCTTGGCCAAACGAGCAACCACGAGAACTTTTCGGATGGACTAAAGCTCTGGCGAGCGATAAGAAAGATTAGGAAAACAACACATGACGAGGCTGCGCAAAAAACAAAGTCAGAAAAAATGAAAAAACAGACAGAAAAAACAAATCAACACAACCTATAAAGACAGTTTGTGTTTATTGGATGATCTTAAAATAAACAGGAACCTTTGGTAATTTATTTCTAATTTCCCGTTTTTGTATGCATAAATATTTCCGTTATAAATAAACGACTAAATAATCGGAATTGAATCCTATTTTTAAGTTTTTTAGAGAAAAAGTTGTGTGGCAAAAAAGTTGTAAATAAATGAAACAGGTTTGGTGATGTTTTTTTTAAGAATGGCAAAAAAAATTTTTTTTTTCTTTTAGTTTATTAAAAAAAAGGGAGTGAAGGAAACGTGTTAAATTAAATAAAATAAAAATATACAACAAAGAGAGAAAAAGCATTGACGATAGTGAAATGCTTGACATATTGTTTTATTATATTTTTTACTATTCCAACTTTTCCCAGTTATATTTAAAAACAACAAAAACAATAAATAATTTATAAAAAAATGTCAAAGAAAAGATTCTTACCTTATCCAAAATAAAATAATACTTTTTGAAAAAAAGGTCAACAACCTTCAGTGTTATACATAAAATTGAACGGTTTATTTACATTGTTTAAAATCAAAAAACAGTAACTATCGATTGAGTTGTGGGTAATAAAGATTTTTAGGAGATGGCCAGTGGAATGCAATTCTATTTATAATTTGGTAGAAAAATTAGATGAAGAGGGTGAGTATTATATTCATTATAAAGAAAAGATATTGTATATCAACTTGCCTATTACAGTCATAAAGTGTGGATCTCAAATAGCACTTCAGTTTTAATTTACGTGGACACTCTTAATAAGTTGACAATTCAAGATATTATTTTCGAATATACACGAAAAGATATGATGAGCTTTTATTTGTCAAATAATATTCTCATAATAAAAATTGCACGTTGTGGCACATAGGGTTGAAAGCTATTTATTTTTTGGGTAATTTTTCAACAATTACAAATAACATGGTTTATGATATTGGAACAGAATGTGTTATTATGTATTGTGTTTTGTTTTTAAATAAAGTCGTTTATAATTATAAGCCGTCGCACAAAGAAAACTTGTTGAACAGAAACTCGATGAACAGATTGCTATTACTGTCATTCAAGACACCATCCACACTTGGTACCAATTCAGAAATTGGGTTTGGTTCAGATTGTTCCAAAAATCAGACCAATTCTCAAGAGAAGAAGAGTTGATGAGGAACTCGCAACTAAGGACAAAGAATTTGAAGCTTTGAAGAAGAAGCTTGCTGAAGAAATTACAAAGAGAGAAGCCGCTGAGAAGGTACTTTCTGAAATGAAAATCAAGAACGTCGACTTGGAAGCTTTAGTCTAAAAGTTTAAAGAAGATATTGAGTCAAAGAAGATACCACTTGATGGGGTTGGTATGAAGTCACAAGAAGACCAAAAACACATTGAGGAACTCCAAGGTGATATTAAGAGAGGAAAGGAAGACTTGAGCAAGTTAACCACTGAGTACAAATTACTTGAAGCTGATAATCAAAGACTTCAAGATGAAATTACTGAGCACAAAGCGACTATTGTTAAGAGGGATAGTGTCATCACCGAGTTGAACAAAAACATTTAAGATAAGGTAGGCGAAATTTCTGACTTGAAAAAGAAGCTAGTGGCCGAAGAAGACAATTCAAAGGATCTCGAGAAACAATTGCACGAGAAGGAAGACGACATTGCTTATTTAGAGAATGAGGTTGCTGTGTTGAAAGATCAGAACACTCAACTTGATGTTGCTAAGAAGGATTGAAGAAGCAATCTGTTGAAGACGCTTCTAAGATTGAGAATTATGAATCACAGATTAAAGCACTTGAAGCACAAAAGAAGATGGCATTGGACGACAAAGCGGAGGCTGAGAAGACTGCCGCGGACCAATCTGATAGAAGAAAGAAGATGGAAGACCAAGTCAAAGCACTCAATGCACAAGTCTCGTCACTTAA